AGTCTTCCAGTGGCTGTTGTTTATCAGATAGCTTATATCAAATAAATGATTTAATCTCCTGAAAGGATTGCTGAATCATACGTCCCCTTCCCACCCTATACTAAACTCCTAAAGATGTTAGAATTAAAGAACTGAAGCTTTTTGGTGGTTCTCCATTGAGACCTCATAATGCACATCTAGGTAGGTGTAAAACTATTGATATTTGCCTGGTGTCCCAAGCCAAGATCCAGATTGAGTCCTTTACAACTTAAATTATGTCTTGAGCACTATTTTTAACTTCAATAAGTTGATGAAATAGTTGATTTAAAAATCATAATCTAAGAAAACACACATACGTATATTTATATATGTATAAGTATATAAGCATATGTACATATATAAACTTACACATATAGATTCTTTGGTTTTTATATTATATACAGACTGATTGTTTAAGAATTCTGATGGAAGAGATTGCTTTTAAACATTTGGAATTTAAATAAACTCCCCTTTTTTGTATTTAATACTTTTCAGTAGCAAAATTCTAATTCATCAAGTCTTTGCCTTTAATAAAATCTGTATTCCAGAAGAAGATGGTGAACCTGAGGAAAAGAGTGAAGAAGAAATAGAAATCATAGAAGGGCGGGAAGAAGGTAGCAAACCAAACAAGTCTGGATCAGAGGATGAGGTGAGCATCTAACAGAAAGTAAGCCGATTTCTGTGTGATCATTAGCCCAAAAAATCAATTCAATATGAGCAGCAATCTGGTTTGTGAAGGGTTTTTTGCCATATTTCTGTTTTCATAGGAGCCTTCATACTGTTTTTTTGTGTCCATAAAGAAGGCAAGAAAATACTATAATTTATATCATCTTAATGCCTAATGAAAAAGTATCAAGTAAGCCTGTGGTTTACAAAATGTAGAGCTGCATCTATAAAAAATTATTTGACTTTATCATTTGCATATTCTGTTGAAAGGTATAATAGACCATTTGAATATTTAAAAATAATTTTATTGCAGACAATTTTCTTAGCAGTCATTGTATAAACATTCTCACTGACACAATAATTACGTCCCACATTTTGAAATATTTCACTCATTGGGTAGTTGAGTACTATCTGCCTGACATGGTGTTTTTCTCAAACCTTTAGTAAACTAGTTTTCCTGTTAACTTGATAAATCTACCCCTTTTTATATCCTGCCATAGAACTTTCCAGTGCCTTTTTTAAGTCAGTTATTTTGGAATCAGAAACCAGCCAGGGTATAATTCACAACCAGAGCTTCCTTTTCTTCTCTCCAGCATATACCAAAAGCCTATTTATTTCTCCAGCCCTTGAAGAGCTGCATAATCTTGCCCCACAGAGTCACCACTCTCATTAGTTAGATAGGGTGACAGTACAATTTTGCCTGGCCTGTTGCGTATGATGAAATAAACTTTCAATTTTGTCTATTTGAAGATATCTCCCAAATAAACTTGCTTTATTGTTGTTTTCTGAAGCCTATTCAGCACATATACCTGGTTACTGGTTTTAATTGACTTGTGAGGTTTTAAAGGGGTTTGGCGGATTATTATCTAGTATGAATGTCCATATTTAGAGGCAGCTAAGTGAAGATCATTTCTTCCAGAACAGAGTTTTAAACAGTCATTCTTTCACCTGTCATTTTCTAAATAACAATACTTGCAGTCATTCACTTGAATATATGTTCAAGTTACATTTTGCTTCACAAAATATTTTGTGTACCTTAAAAAAATCTTAATCCCATTTTCAAGCTTTTTGTTTTTCTTTATATACATTTGTTAGTGAGCTAAAATATGCCAATTTTTGTATAGTATAACCTTAAGAAATAATTATAACTCTTTTGTATAATATATAACTCCATTATTTTATATTGTTACACAAGTTTAGTTTATGTGTAAATGCTTATTCTAGAAGGATGAGAATTGAAGGAAAGAAAAAACCCAAACCATATATTTGATTTCCCTTTCCTCTCTCCTAATTTATCTCCAAGTACTATATGTCAGAAATTCTGAAAAAGCCTCTGTAAAATCACCTCAGCAATTCATTACTTACAGAAATACTGTGATGACTAGTTGGTGCTTAATATCCCACAATGAAAATATCATAACCTTTCATTAATTGTGACATTGAGATTAAGTTCTCAGTCATAAAAATGAAATCATGAATTGAGTTGTTAGCAGTATTCCTTGTCAGATGCATACTTGATAAGCAGAGCTATTCTAAAAATGTAATTATGCCAAAAGGTGAACAGATTAAAACACCAATTTATATACACATTTTTGGTCAAGTGCATGAAGTAAAGGAATATATATATGAGAGCATTTGATTGATAAAACATGTATTTGAGAGAGTAAGAAATTTATTTACTACTATCTACTAGTTTATATATTGTATTGAAATAAACATTTTCATAATTCTTTTTTTCTAGATGAAGGAAGCAGATGAGAGCACAGGATCTGGAGATGGGCCGGTAAAGTCAGTACGCAAAAGAAGAGTACGGAAGGAGTAAACTGTATTCAAGTATTTTTAAATCCTGAGAGAAATATGGCATCTAAAATCATTGTGCCAGCACTGAACTTCAATCAGTCTGCATAGCCTGTTTCTAATACCTAGTAATGTTGTTCATAATTTCAGACATCCACTGTAGTCTTTTCAGGAAAAAAACTTTGAAGTTACCTGGTCTTTGAATTCAGAATAAAAGAAAAGTGGCACGTTACATATCAGATTTAAGAGATTAATTAATATCATTAGAAGTTACACAGTTTTAATAGTTTGGAGAGAGTTTTGGTTTGTACAGAGCAAAGTAAAATGCAGCAGCTTCCGTGTTATTGGAAAAATCAGTTATTGGAATTTCCTCTTAAACGGCTCTACTACAATATAACTGGTAGTTCTACAACAAGAATGAGAGAGTGTTCTGTTGTACAGAGCTAAATGCAATAAAGTTTCTATATGGTTATTTAATTCTGTCAACAATTGAAAGTGTTGTGTGTGACCCATATTTACCTATTTTGTGTCAAATTATAGTTATGGTTTGTTCACTTACAGATTCCTTTAAAGAGGTGCTTTGTTGGCAGACAGGTCAACAAAACAGAAATGTCTAAGCGTCATTCACAGAATCACTGGTCAATAGTGCAGCATATTTTACATTAGAAAACAAAGATAATCGGTTCATAAAACAGCAGATATTTTCCAAGCTTTTATAATAGTTTACGCCAGAATGGTTTACCCTACTTACACTGCTTATGTGTACACTGCTCTTGAAAATATAATTGAAATATTTTTCTTCTTTAATTTCTATCCTTCTTAATAGGTAAGTTATTATTGGGAGGCTTTAAATTGCTTTTCTGATCATTAAGAAATTCTAATGGCTAATAGATATGTTTTATATTTTTGTCTTGCCGTTTTTCCAGACAAATTTAAATCTAGATTGTTTATTCTCTCATCTAGCTTCAAAGCTACCTCTAAGGTAGATAGCAGCAACAGAAGTTGCAGAACGACATTATAATGGAGCCATATTGTTCCACTTAAAATATTTTAAGAAATTTTTATGTTTGGGTAACAGGTTAGACCCTTTGAAAGGTGATCTAAATCTTTGAGACCACAAAAAACTTTCCTACTATCTAGAGAACTTTATACTAGTTGGATACTATTTTGGACTCCTTCATGGACATACACACCCCATCTTTGGACAAGCACCAAGTTCCCATACAACCCCTTCCCAACAGTATGTTTAGAGTGGGGGCATAAGGAAAACGAGTCTCTAGCTTCTCCTTCTACTAAAGGAAGCCAGACATAGTCTACTTATTTCAGAAAGTGAATTGAAAATGAAAATCTTTATTCCATTGCTGTGTTCTGAACTTGCATAAATTGGTGGTTGCAATCTTAAAACAGAGTTAACCATACTTTGTATTTAATACTAACTGAACACATCTTGCAAGGACCCCCTTTCTTCCTTTGTGTTTGGAATGTCCAAATGAACTAGACACATTGAATGCTTTTAGATGAGAATGTTTCTGAAAGTAAACTACTTCAGGAGATAAATCCTTTATTATGGAAACCTTCTTGTCTGACAGGTATCTTGTATGTAAACATTTTTTTCCTAAAGATTTATTAAAGCTTTTTTTATTTTCTTGGTTGCAGATTCGTTTTAACTTTAACATTTGGTTAAACTCCAAGAGCTTGCAGTGGTAAGATCTGAGCAACCAGTTTTGCCAACGCACTGCTACTCCCGTGGGTGTGCCCTCGGTGGAGGGACCATGATTGACAGGTTTAGCCAAAACTTAAACTCTCATAAATGTGTGTGCTAGATCCTGCAGCGGACAGTCTTCCTTAACCACAGATGGCCTTTCCCTTTCCCGCCCTGACTCACTGTAAAATGACTTACATTTTAGCCTTTTCTGTAACAAAGGAGAAAAATGTATTTTGCTTTTATTTTAGTTGGCCTTTTAAGAAACTTTTTAACTTGACAGGCTAAATTTAGTAGCTTCCTTCTTGAATTTTTAAAGATAGTCTTGCTCCCATTGATTATGTCTCTAGGAAGACATGTTAGCAAAGTTAGTAGCCTCTCTGAAAACTTTGCATCTGTGCCCCATGCACTTTTTCTGTGAATTAGAACGGTGATCATTAATGTGACTTGGAAGGCATGGTTAAAAATGCCAGAGCCATCTTCAGTTTCTGCTAGCTTGCAACACTCACCTCAGAACCATTAGTTGGGAGAGAAATTTCTATATTATATTATTTATCACTCTATCAAATCTCTTGTTATGGGAGATTAGCCTAACCTAAAGAATACAACCCTGGAAATGCTGGGTCCTTCAAATTCCTTGCTTTTATTTTTAAAATTAATGTATAATATCCTATAACATTTGTTTAATTATTATTCCCCTAAACATCCAGTAACTGCTACTTAAAGAAGATATGCTGCTTACTCTGAGGCTTTGGACAACCCTGGTTACAGCACTACGCCACCCAGTTACTTAGGCAACCAAATCAAAACACAAACAATCTCTGAAACAGCTTTTTATTAAACAGCAAAGCAAAATTGCAACACAGTTTTAAACATTTGTAAGTTAGGTCACAAAAGGGATGCAAAATGTTTTGCAGTATGGTTATATATTCATACAGCTAAAGTCATTCATCGAATTGTACACCAATACAAACATGATTATTCCATGATTAAAAGTAGCCCAAGCCCAAATCTAATAACTATAATCTATAATAATGAATCTCTTTTCCTATTTAACATTTTAACATTACTTCTGATATTAATTTCCTTAGTAAATGGAATCTACAAACTAAATTTTAAAAAATTGTTAAAGACTAAAACTCTGCATACCAAGTAGTTGGGCTTACAGAAAAGTCTGGGAGAAGTAGTGAGATAAAATACTGAGAACATTATCAATTAGTATACATGTAAAACTCTCCCATTTTATTCATGATTCTGTTACTAATACACTCAAAGGATTTTGCAAAAAATTGATCTGCTGGATACTATAAATATACTTTGAGACCAAACTCTTTGTAACTATTCTAGATGTGGTTTACATAGGGTGAGTCAAACTTAATCCACTTTCATACATAGTCCCCAAAAGATCTAATCTGTGCCAGATATAACACAAATCTGGAGTAAAGACATCTGGAGTTGGTTACTTCTGTTTACCAGGTACTTTCTCCATCCTATTTCTATTTTTCCTCAAAATTTTCTGTTTTAAACATACAACCAGAGCTCATCTTTTCAGATACCAAGTTATTTTATATAAAAGGAAGTTTTATTCAACAACAAATTTTCCCAATTTGATAATTCAGCTTCAAGGAAAACAAAAATCTTCATTTTTATAGCCTGTTTTCAATTGATTAAAGGAAAACCAACAATCCTAAGTCCCAGTATTAAATACAGTCATGCACTGCTTAATGACAGGGATACGTTCTGAGAAAAGTGTCATAGGGGAATTGTATTGAGCACACACCAGAGAGTGCACTTACACAATCTAGATAGTATAGCCCACTACGCACTCCTACACTACATGGTGTACCACCCGTCGTCTCTTCAGTCTGTCACGGACTGAAACATTATGTGGGCACATGGCTGTTTAACAAATAACAAGCCCTAACTTTTGGTTAAGTTTCAACAGTACATTTCAGGTTACTCTCCTAAATGATTAACTACTAAAATTGTTCTTACAAATGTGAAACCAATTTTTTCTTCAGGAGAAGGGAAATGGGGTGGAAGAAGCAAATGGAGAAGAGGCACAAGATGGTAGACAGGGTACATAAAGCTGTGCATTCAGTACATGATTTTGGTCACTTTTTCACAACATGGTGGTTTTCTTGTATCTCCTACTATATAAGAAAAGACAGTGCTAAACCTATAAATCAAAGCAAATTTGATAAAACATTCATTATCAAGTTTCATAAATATATGCATTTCTAATTAAAAAGTCTCTACAATACATTTTCACGTTTTCATAGACTAACATAATACACAAACTCACGGAAGTCTCTGTTATGCTCTTAATTTTGCCTAGATCTGACATTATCTTCATAAATATTCAATGAAGCCACAAACAAAAGTACTATAACTTCTGGAATCTATCCAAGTTTTAAAGAAAAAAAAATCAGCAGCAATCCATAAGACAGAAAGGACATCAATCCCTTACTTTCTTTTGCTTTTTGTGTCAGTTGTTTGAAAAACACTAGAAGCTGACATGAGATTTTCTATATATTGTCCAAGAACTTGATTTTCTGATTTTAGCTTCAGATTTTCTTCCTTAACTGCATCTACTCTTGCAGAGAGATCTACATTAAAAATAAAAAAGCCATTTTCAATAACATGATGGCAGTGATTCCATATTATAAAATGCTTAAGATTCATCCTTAAGAGAGAGAACATAATCCTTAAATTTTCTATTTTAAAATTCAGATTAGATTAGAAGTTAAGGTAAACAAAGCAAACTGAGTGCAAATAGTGAAAATTCCGAAAATGAGATTTCACAGTAGACTAAATGTTATTCTTTGTAAACAGCATTTATGTTGACTAATTCTTAAAATGGTTATTTTTCAAAAATATATATGGAATTTGTTTTTAAAATGTGGATTTGGGTTCATGTCTTACCAACATAAAACCATACTTGTCTTCACTAGAAGTGTTTTAAGAAAATGGGGTAGGTGAACACAACTGAATTCATGTACTGGATATAGAAAGTCGGTTTCCAAGCAATTGAACATTTTGTATTAACATAACCTCCATTCATTCATTTAACAACTAAGTATTGGGTGCCCTCTAGAGCCAGGTACTCCTGTGCCAGAGGCAACAGTAACAAAAAAGAAAGGTCTCTGCCCTCAGAGCTTACATTTTAATGTGCATTTAGGGGGCTCCAAGTGGGGGTCAAGAGAAAAAGCAAGAAGAGTAAGGGTCACAGGAATCAAAAGAGAAGTTGCCCTTTTATACAGTATAGTCAGGGACAGCTATTTTGACCAAGGAAATTTGACTATAAACTTAAAAGTGGGGGAATGAGCCTAAATAACTGGAAAAGCAGATGGGAACAGCTACTGCTAAGATCCTGAGTAGAAGCATACAGAAAGAACAGCTGGGGGGTGGGGGTGGGAGGGGCAGAGAATCTGAGGTAGAATGTATGAGGCCTTGTGTGTTACATGTGGCTCTAAATGGTAAAAGGGAAGTAATAGACTGCAGAGAGTAACTTGGATTTTATTAACTGTGACATGGGAAGCCACTGGAGTGACATGATCTCACTCTGGTGTCAAAAAACAAAAACAAAAAACTCAACCTCTTAATTTTATTAAAAACCAAAAGATATGTCAGTGTTAGTATTAATTTTATGAAAGGCATTTAGAAAACGAAAAAACTCAGACGAATTCCCTTTTAATCTCTGGGGCTAATATTACTACTTTTAGTACAAGTGGACTTAGTAACACAACGTTACTTTATTAAAAGGGGCTCTCAGGTACTAAAAGGCATTATGTTAGAACTTAAAGAGAGAAGCTTAAGGATACTTACTGAAGCATATCTATTCTTTAAAATCACCAAAGCTACAGGCAGGGGCAGGGGTGGGGTTGGAGGGGGTACTAATGAAATGGACTTGAAACTTTTTAAAACTGTGCACATAACAGAATTTAGCAACACAAAGGCTTACAATTTCAATTATTGATGTTATTCAAGAAAACTACAAAATGCAAGCTAACCTTCAAGTGTGTGTTGGAGTTCCAACACTTGATTAATAAGTCGTGTTTTTTCTTCCAGTTCCACCTGATTTTCAGCATCAACTGCTGTAATAAAAGATCCAAATTTACTATTAACATTAGGTACCATTTGTGTAATGTTAGCACTTAAAGATCTGCAAAATGTTTTATATTTATTATCTAACTTGACTTATACAAGAGCCCTAAAAGTAAAAAGTTCTATCCCCACACTGCAGATAAGGACACCAAGGTAAAGATAAAATGTTTTGCCAATATCTCACAATTTAGGAGCACAAGCTGCCTTAAATCCTTTCCAGAACTAGAAGGAATGTAAATAGCCAAACCCCAAACTCTAAATATTCTTCTCTGTTCTTTCCATTGCTTAATAAAGCAAAAGCATCCACAAAACCAGGAACATACAAAAGGAAAATAAAGAACATACCATCCATGTCAGCATTCATCATCTTGGGTAACAAACTTTTGGACTTTGGGTACAAAATCCTTGGTAACTGGTCTGCAATAAGAAAAAGGAACATAGATACAGAGAGAAATAAAATTTAAGCTTGTTTTTCAAGAGAAACTTATGTGACCCAGTAGGACCCTTTCACATCCTTTACTGTCTCTAAGAATGAACACCCAATGGGTAAGTAAGCAAAGGATATATACAAATAATTTACAAAGAGAAGTAAAGAGAAAATGATGAGTTTCTTGGTTATCAAAGAAATACATAATAAAACACAACTGTACATTTATTAAATTAATTTTTAAAAGATAATGATCAGCCCTGCCAGTGTGGCTCAGTGGTTAGAGTGTTGTCCTGTGCACTGAAGGGTTGATGGTTCCATTCCCAGTCGGGGCACATCCCCAGGTTTGGGTTCGAACCCGGGTTGCAGCACTTAAGGGAGGAAACCAATCGATGTTTCTCACATAGATGTCTCTTCCTCTCTCTCCCCCTTCCTCTCTCTCTAGAATCACTGGGGGAAGGGGGAGATGATGCTCAATGCTAGCAGTTACGGAAAAACTATTAAAATAATGTCACTGTGCATTAATATACTAAATGTTTCACAGATACTAATTCATCAAATCCAAAGGAGGACACTGCAACTTACAGATGTGGACACTGTAGCAATTACTTGAACCCAGGTTTAACTAAAAAGCCCCCTTTTCCATTATGCAATGGAAAAAACTTTAACCCCAATCTAAGTTTGCCAAACATTTTGCAATTCTTGATGTCAAATTCCTTCGATATTTCTACTAACTAAGCAACTGAAGATAAATTTCAACCCCTTCAAGCTGCATCAGTTGTCAACATGGTTTTTTTGTTTGGGTCTGTTCAAGTTCTGACTTGTTCCGGTTACATAAATCCACAAATTAAGGAATTGTTGGGCCAAACGAGGATCTGAACAGGAGCCATTTCCCCAGAAAACGGCTCTCTCCGCCGAGCTTAACGAGCACAGGCACAGAGCTGTGGGTCCTCGGGGCACAGCCCGTCCTCAGCATCGCTACGTCATAGTACTGGAACCAATACATCGTACAACAAAAGCCCTGCCTCTCCGGAATGTATCCCCTTTCTCGGTTCCCATCGTAACCCCCCAAAACTTGTTCAGAAGGACCCTTGAGAGAAGCCCACGGAGATACTAACCCGGGAGCTGCTTTCAACGCCCGGAAGGGGGTGGCCAGCCCTCCCTGCGCCGCTCGCTTGCCCCCTGCCCGCCTCGGCCTCCGCTCCCCCAGCCCCCGGGCTTGGCAGAGCAGCCGCGGCCAAAGCCACGCGTGCCGGGTCCCCTCGCACCCAAACGCCCCTCCCGCAGCCCCGTTTCAGGGCGGAGGTGCTGGACAGCGGCCTTCGACTCGGGAGCGGCGGGGAGAAGGCGGCAGGATGTCCGCGTCAGGGACCGAGGGCGACCCACCCCAAAGGAACCTCGGAGCCCAACAATGAGAAGGTGAGAAAAAGAGGCTGCGCAGGGGTTCCGCAGGGAGCCGGGTCTCAGCCGCCCACCAGGCGCCCAGGCCCGAGGCCGCTCCCCCGGGCCCCCGCT